GTGCTTAGATTAGTCAACGACCCCTGATGACACAACCAACAGCACACCATCAACTCATAGTGCTTAGATTAGTCAACGACCCCTGATGACACAACCAACAGCACACCATCAACTCATAGTGCTTAGATTAGTCAACGACCCCTGATGACACAACCAACAGCACACCATCAACTCATAGTGCTTAGATTAGTCAACGACCCCTGATGACACAACCAACAGCACACCATCAACTCATAGTGCTTAGATTAGTCAACGACCCCTGATGACACAACCAACAGCACACCATCAACTCATAGTGCTTAGATTAGTCAACGACCCCTGATGACACAACCAACAGCACACCATCAACTCATAGTGCTTAGATTAGTCAACGACCCCTGATGACACAACCAACAGCACACCATCAACTCATAGTGCTTAGATTAGTCAACGACCCCTGATGAAACAACAAACAGCACACCATCAACTCATAGTGCTTAGATTAGTAAAACGACCCCCTGATGTCACAACAACAGCACATCATCAACTCATAGTGCTTAGATTAGTCAACGATCCCTGATGACACAACCAACAGCACACCATCAACTCATAGTGCTTAGATTAGTCAACGACCCCTGATGACACAACCAACAGCACATCATCAACTCATAGTGCTTAGATTAGTCAACGACCCCTGATGACAAAACCAACAGCACACCATAAACTCATAGTGCTGAGATTAGTCAACGATCCCTGATGACACAACCAATAGCACATCATCAACTCATAGTACTTAGATTAGTCAACGACCCCTGATGATACAACCAACAGCACACCATCAACTCATAGTGCTTAGATTAGTCAACGATCCCTGATGACACAACCAACAGCACACAATCAACTCATAGTACTTAGATTAGTCAACGACCCCTGATGACACAACCAACAGCACACCATCAACTCATAGTGCTTAGATTAGTCAACGACTACTGATGACACAATCAACAGCACACCATCAACTCATAGTGCTTAGATTAGTCAACGACCCCTGATGACTCAACCAACAGCACACCATCAACTCATAGTACTTAGATTAGTCAACGACCCCTGATGACACAACCAACAGCACACCATCAACTCATAGTGCTTAGATTAGTCAACGACCCCTGAAGACACAACCAATAGCACGTCATCAACTCATAGTGCTTAGATTAGTCAACGACCCCTGATGACACAACCAATAGCACACCATCAACTCATAGTGCTTAGATTAGTCAACGATCCCTGATGACACAACCAACAGCACACCATCAACTCATAGTGCTTAGATTAGTCAACAACCCCTGAAGACACAACCAATAACACATCATCAACTCATAGTGCTTAGATTAGTCAACGACCCCTGATGACACAACCAATAGCACACCATCAACTCATAGTGCTTAGATTAGTCAACGACCCCCTGATGACACAACCAACAGCACACCATCAACTCATAGTGCTTAGATTAGTCAACGACCCTCTGATGACACAACCAACAGCAAACCATCAACTCATAGTGCTTAGATTAGTCAACGACCCCCTGATGACACAACCAACAGCAAACCATCAACTCATAGTGCTTAGATTAGTCAACGACCCCCTGATGACACAACCAACAGCACACCATCAACTCATAGTGCTTAGATTAGTCAACGACCCCTGATGACACAACCAACAGCACACCATCAACTCATAGTGCTTAGATTAGTCAACGACCCCTGATGACACAACCAACAGCACACCATCAACTCATAGTGCTTAGATTAGTCAACGACCCCTGATGACACAACCAACAGCACACCATCAACTCATAGTGCTTAGATTAGTCAACGACCCCTGATGACACAACCAACAGCACACCATCAACTCATAGTGCTTAGATTAGTCAACGACCCCTGATGACACAACCAACAGCACACCATCAACTCATAGTGCTTAGATTAGTCAACGACCCCTGATGACACAACCAACAGCACACCATCAACTCATAGTGCTTAGATTAGTCAACGACCCCTGATGACACAACCAACAGCACACCATCAACTCATAGTGCTTAGATTAGTCAACGACCCCTGATGACACAACCAACAGCACACCATCAACTCATAGTGCTTAGATTAGTCAACGACCCCTGATGACACAACCAACAGCACACCATCAACTCATAGTGCTTAGATTAGTCAACGACCCCTGATGACACAACCAACAGCACACCATCAACTCATAGTGCTTAGATTAGTCAACGACCCCTGATGACACAACCAACAGCACACCATCAACTCATAGTGCTTAGATTAGTCAACGACCCCCTGATGACACAACCAACAGCACACCATCAACTCATAGTGCTTAGATTAGTCAACGACCCCTGATAACACAACCAACAGCACACCATCAACTCATAGTGCTTAGATTAGTCAACGACCCCCTGATGACACAACCAACAGCACACCATCAACTCATAGTGCTTAGATTAGTCAACGACCCCTGATGACACAACCAGGCTGTCACAATTATTTCTGTGATAATAGGAGTTCTTTTTTGTCTGGCTGGTTAAAAAACATTATTCATTGATCAGCACACAGCTGTTTGCCTTAAACCCCCCCCCACCCTTTTTTTTTCTTCAACTATTCCAAGGGACCTACCTGCTATTTTTGCTGTGGTTAATGCCTGCAGTAAGTAATTTTATCCAAAGTGTGTAATTATTTGGTAGATTTGAGATTTGAGCCCAAACCATCAGCCTGACATTGTCTTACCCAGATGTCCATTTAACAATAGTTAAAGTTACAGCACCATATTCAGCACAGTGAATGCTATACAGTTACAGCACCATATTCAGCACAGTGAATGCTAAAACTAAAACACAAAATCTCTCATTATTAACAAAATAATATTACTTGAAAACTGATTGAAACATATGAATATGTGATAGGCAAAACAACACCAACTGTGTTGCGGCAAACATTAGCTTAATGTCTGAACGACACATCACCAACAGTAGCGTAATGTCTGAACGATACATCACCAACAGTGGCTTAATGTCTGAATGACACATCACCAACATTGGCTTAATGTCTGAACTATACATCACCAACAGTAGCTTAATGTCTGAACGACACATCACCAACAGTAGCTTAATGTCTGAACTACAGATCACCAACAGTAGTTAATGACTGAACTACACATCACCAACAGTAGCTTAATGTTAATGTTTGAACTTGTAACACGTACGTTACGTCCGAGCTCTCACTTGCAGGCGTTAATTTACAACTATCTCTTCCTCACATTTATAAGATGGAAGTCCTTGGTAAACACAAATGATTTTAATACAGCAGCTGAACATATCTACACTTTTTACAGAAGAAACATGTCAATGAAAATACATTCCAGCCATCTATTCTTGCTCGTACCTACACACGCTCTCTCTTGTTTTTCTATCACGTGATCTTTTTTAACTAATCATTCTTCTCACGTGACAGAACTACACATCACCAACAGTAGCTTAATGTTTGAACTACAGAATGCTTCACACTAGATATTTCAAACTTAGATGTTAGCACCATGAGAAATAAAGACTTGATATTATCATGATTTAATACTCACTTCTTTATTAATACTTATATAGCATTAGGCTTTAGCATACAGCATTTTTTTAAAAAAATCATTCAATTGTAAATAACATAGTTAAATTAAGTTTTGAAGATAATACTTTTTATTGAAACAACATGGTCATAGCATTCCATGAAATAGAAGGAAGGCACTCCAGTCATTTTATTAAGTACTGATATTTCGAGACAGTATTATAAGGAAGAAGACATAATGAAAGCCTTCCTAATACAGGCTGGTGTGAAACATGCAGAAACTTAAGGCTATTAGCTAGGTATGTAAGGGCAGCTGACTGGGATATACCAATAACCCAAATTTATATTAATAATTTAAAATATAAAAAACAACAGTGTTCACTCTTAAGGTCCTAATGATCAGCGTTCCCCAAATGGTGGTCCACAGACTGGAGCCCGTCCATGATCTTTACATTACCAGTCTGCACAACATGAATATTTACGGTCAAATAAAAATATAATTAATAAATCTGGCACTGGTCCCTGGTGCAGTTTCTGAAAGTGTCCATTTGTCCCACAAACTGAAAAATTTGGGAATCACTGCTCTGGATGATCAGAGAGGTTATTATCAGAGAAGTATGTACAAATGTCTGGTGTACAAATGTCTGGTGTACAAATGTCTGGTGTAAAAAATGTAAAGAAACAATGCATGATGAATTCACTGGACCATAACAGATTGTACACAATCTATTTCAGGCCCACCTCAATAACTCTGCTCTAATGAAAAAAGCCAGTTAGATGGCTAGTAAAGGTATTTTTCAAGATGGATAAACAACAAGAAATTTTTTTTCTCCCTGAATTCTAATTGCCGGTATATTATAAAAACACCAGAATGAATCACTAAATAAGGAGTCATCTAAATATTTATAGAACAAATCTTAAAAAATTAACTTAACCTTCGATAGAAAACCGCTCTGTGGCTGTTAGCTTTCTTATATTTTTATTTGATGACATTAAGTAATTAATTGAAAAAAGCCAAATTTGAAAGGTTTTTATCTTCCTGTGGTGCTCTCCCCTAGTGCATTTTAAAAAATTGAACAAGTGTGTAAGATTTTAACCTCCTGCGCCAGAAATGAAACAAAACTTTTGAAAAGGAATTATCAGGAAATCATGAGTTTTAAAAGTCTACAAATTTAACATAGTCTTTGAGTTTTCTAGGTAAAGGCAATAGACCCATAAGACTCAGGTGGTCGCACCTCGCCATGTGTGCACGAATCACCCGACGAGCCAGACCCAGGAGACTCAGAGGGGCTACCCTATCAGCCCAATGCTGGCGTGTGTAATAATCTATCTCAGTCACCAGACTGTTTATATGAGGGTACTTTTTCCTCCAAGAACTTATCTCCACCATAGGGAACAAACTGTTGATCTTATTGTAACAGATGAGCATCCGCACTAGCTCTGCATAAGGGGAAATGAGTTTTCTGTCATGAAGGGGGCAGCTGTGTTGAGTTTGACTTGGACTTTGGTCAGCCGGCGACCCAGTTTTTAACATAAAGTTATTGAATTCGATGAGCCGCTCAAACTCATTGGCGGTTTCCAGAGCTAGACGGAGTGCCTTGAGTTTGTCTTTGTGCGTAGGAACCTGGAATTTCTTGGACTGTCTGAGAGTTGCTTGAACAATTAGTTCTATTATAGCTATATGGCTGTACTGCACTCCAAGCAGTGCTTGGTCCATGGCTTCCTGATTGCTGTGGAAGACTAGATTGTTCTTTAACACAGTCAGGCTGCAGGACAAGGGCGTGTACTTCTTTATGTCCTTAGTATGAATATCCCCTGGGTGCAGGCGGGCCAGCAGCAGACAAAAGCATTCAACGCTGCCATTCATGCACACCATATGCATGGGCGTGTGCCAGTTGTCTCTGTTAGGACATGACAGCTGCCAGTCAAGGCAATGTTTCAGCAATTCCCTCATTAGTCCCGGATCTGCCATTTCTGAAGCCAGCATCAGAGGAGACTTCCCCTTGTAGCTTTTGACATTCACGTCGCAGTCCATGGCCATCAATAACTTGATGATTTTAAGGGCCGATCCGTTGTCAATGAGATAGCGTTTGGATTTCAGTGAGATTAGCACTGTGTGAATGAGGCGCCCCTGGCTAGTGGGTAGGTTAGCGCTGCAGCCATTATTAAGGAAAAGCTCAACGATGTCAAGATGACCCAGATCACAGGCCTGCTCCACAACACTGAAACATGGAAAGATACACTTTAAACATTTCTGCTTGTAGGTTTGAGCTGGAAATATAGGAAAAGGTAAAATATAAAAGAAGTATAAAAGAAACTAAAAAGTAAATTCTTAAGTGTCATTTCAAAAAAGAATTTAATTTTCAATTTATAATATAAGTGAGCACTGTTACCCAAGTTGAGTCTTTCCAAACCAAGTTTTGCCACTTCAGCTGCCTAGCAGCCATTTTTAAATATTCAAAATCTAACCAGAAAATGTGTTGATATGGGTCAAAAACTCCGACCATTGTTTGAAACACTTAAAAGTAAGTTGTGTTAACTACAGTACACAAACTATAAGTTGTATCAACTACAGTACACAAACTATAAGTTGTATCAACTACACAATACACAAACTATAAGATGTATTAACATAAACTATGTATTTTTTAAAACAAATATTTAAATTTTTAATTACTTGGCAGGATCAAATAATTTATTTATGTTATTCATTGACGTCCTCTTCCACAGCATTGTCAGTAGAAATGTCATTTTAGTGGCAATCCTCTTCCACAGCAGTGTCAATAGAAATTTCATTTTCTTTGCATTCAGAGTTTCACTCAGGTCGCTGATTCACGAATTCAAAGTAACAAACCATGGTACCAGTACATTTCTGCAACTTTCTACATTTTTACAAGGTGATCTTCTATTTTACAAAATTAACAAGGGAACTTGTACTTATGCTCTGTTTAATTATGTTTTTAAAAAAACTCATTTAAATCTTTTCGACAAGTCATTTTGATTCCATACTGAAAACATCAGACTTGTCCCATTTTTGACAGAAATACCTATTGCTTTTTTTTCTATTCATAATTAACATAAATATGACATTGTTACACTGGTAGAAATCATATCTTTATGTAAAGATATTTTAATTCTTCCCTTGGAATAACTCAGACCCAGGTTGAAAAAAAAAGGAAGTGAAGGAGGGGCTGCCTGAAGTTAATGGTTTATGATTTCTGTAATATGTGTCAATTACTTGATTTTTTTATTTTAATCTCGAAAAAGATTATTACTTTATACTAAAAACATAAATTGAGCATTAATTTTGTGGGTGGTTATTAGACAAATGGGAATGAATAGTGAGGTTAATTACAAATAGAGATTAAAGGATTGATTTTCTTCAGCAAGCATTTCATAAAATATCTTCTTTTTTCAAAATCACTGTTCTTCTAACGGGAGATTTTCTAAAAGGAGTCATCCATACAATGCAAACACTAAGGTCATATTTTCTTACATACCTGTCTTATGTGCACATTTTGGGACCACCCTCCTCAAAAGCCGTCATACAAATGACCTAATTATTTGACATTTATGATGTATCATTACAAGGCAAATAAACGAAGGCACTGTTTACCTTTTAAAAAGATTGTCCCTGGTTTTCTCCCCTTTTGCTTCCTTACGCTGCTGGCTGTTTTTCATAGCATTATATTGTGTACCAAGGTATCTTGATTTCAGGATAATAATGTTACAATTTGTGCAGGAATGTAACCATACATTCTGTGCAAAGCCCCCCACCCTCTCAAACTATACCATAAACAAAATCTCCTAAATAAATGCTCCTCTTCCTCATTAAGTGTGCACATAATAAAAATATTGATTGCCCCTGAAAGACACTGACCAACATTGATATGTTTACATGAATTGAACTGAATTACTTTATATTTAACATCACCACCAGTAACAGAAACATTGCAAATCCCATCTACATGCATAGGAGCCAAAATGATCAATAAATTGATCGTGGGCCCTTAAGATATAGAAGAAGAAGATATAGAAGATCGCCAATAAACTTTGACACAAATTTGATGCATTATTTAATGATATAGACTATATAAAACAAGAAAGATTTCTTCATGTTACCTTATGCCTTCCTTTAAATATTCTTTCATATGTTTTTTTAGGCCAGGTTGAAAATGGCAAGGATAAGTAAAACAAGTCATATTGGGGTCTTCTATGACATTCTTTAATCCAATCAGGTCGTGAGACTCAACAAGTTTTTTGACAAGATCTTTACAATTGTAATTCATGACTGCCATTTTTGGTTGAAAGCAACTAGAGGGGTATCCTAGGTATAAACAAAAAGATGATTTTCATTAGTAATGCAAAGTTTAATTGCTTATTTTAACTAGTAGAATGATAGAAAGAGCAAGAGATTATTTTTAATGTCTTTTTAACATTCAATCTTTTAATTTTTTTCTATGTTTGCCATCCTTTTATATAAATGTGGACCATTGTCACTTTGTGTAATTTAATTTGTAAACTTAATTAATATTTGTTGGGAGATGGAAGCATATTTTTCTTTATTTCCCAAATAAACAAGTACTGTCAAATTTTCTTGTGTGCTTTATAAAAATTGTCGCTTAATTATGGCTAACATTTTTTTAGTAATTTTTGTCCATTAAAAGTTCAATTTTCAATAAAATATGTTATGTATTTTACACAATTATGGAACTAAAATTAATCCAGATCTAAAACATTTTTTTGAGTGAGGAGCGATCTTTTTATAAATTAAATCTGATTAGAATATATTTTGATTCATATGATTGGCATGTATATCTATTAATAAAAAACAGGACAGCATCTTTTCCATCAGCTTGTGACAAACAAGCTGATTGAGTATCCTGTGCTGCAGCAGATTGCTGACCACTGATCTAGACCTAGATAATGTTCTAAATATTATTACCTATAAATTCATAATAAAATTATTTTTTTAATTTTATATATTATTATGTTATGAATATACTTTCATTGCATTTAGGCCTACTATCATTTAGCATACTCATACATTCATATTGATAAATATTTAATTTTTTTATGGTCAGTGCTGCATCGTCTCTGATAGCTGTCTAACGAAAGTTAAAGTAAAGACAGTTACGAAAATAGTTTAATTAGACAGTAATGAGAAGAAAGTTTAGAAATTCTGCAATCTCTGAGCAGTAGTACACCAGTCACTGATGGTTATAAAGTATCCTAACATTAAATTAGATTTTGATTATATATAGTAGCATATGTCCATGGTCCATCGGATAGGCTTACTAAACTTACTTATCTTCTTAAAGTTATTAACACAAGTTTACCCTTTTTTTTTTTTTACTGTATATCAGTATAATATTAGTAGAAAATAATGTTAATAGGTGACTTGGTGATATAATATATATATAAAATAAATATATATATATTATATTATTTTTATATATATAGGCTATATACTATATATAATATATAGGCTATATAATAATATATATTATATGTAATATATAGCCTATGATGTAATTGTTATATTATACAAATTTAATGACTAATATTTATATTTTACAATTGTTCATTACCTACTCATAATACTTAATACTGATACATAATCTATAAATTTTAAAACACCTGCCTTTCACTTTTATCCCTCGCCTCTTTCACTTTGACTTTGACTCTCTGATTTGGACTTTTTTTTCAGTGCGGGCTTTAGCTTATCAGCCCTTTCTTATTTTGATGAAGTTTGTACTCATTACTCAGCTTTCCATGTTCATGCTGACGTGTTAACAAATAGGCTGATGATCAGAGTTTCTAAGGCTACCCAAAAAATTATATTTAAATTAAATAAGAAATGTTAAAAATTCAAACGTTGACTAAGTTTAAATAACCATTTTGAACGCTAGTTAACGCCCTTAAAATTATACCTGGCCGAAATCCATTTTTAAACCGAGATGCTTCCTTTCATTAATAGTGGAACTAGATATTTATAGGCTTGAAAAGAAAAAAACAGGACAAGTTAAAAAGACGTTTCGGCAAGAGCTTTCTTCAGCGGGTGATTTTTATAAAAAGAGAGAAACAAGAGAACCTTTAAACTAAAAATAGAAATAAAAAAAGTTTTCGAAAATTTACATAATGAAAATGTTATAATTATGAGAATGACGCCAAATGAGTCAATATTAAATATGAACAATGACAGTCATATGATTTTAACGTAGCTCAGGATCAATGTTCCATTCAGAACCCAATTATTTAATTTTAACATAATTTTTATACATATTTTTATCTACTTATTACAGTTTTTTTTTTCAAAAAATGCTTCCATTATTTTAATAAAGATAAAATCTATCAGTATCAGATCAGAGAGCACAAAAGTGTATAGTTACCGTAAGAAACAGTTTGTAAACTAAGGATTCACACAATTTTCAACACATACAATTAATTTTATTTCAAAAATGGCATTTTAATTTTTTATTTTAAAAAATTAGGTCCGTTAGTTTGTGATAAAACTGAAATTATATGATAATAATTATAATTTATCAAATAATTAAACTGACCTTTACCAGAAATATCTTTGGATACAACAATTTTAAGTAAACTCTCAATTTTCTTAGGCTTAAACTTAAATTAAATTTAGATCTTAAGACATCAGTCATCGGATGAATTGCCAAGTTTTCAGGTGCCATTATATTCCTTTCCCCAATGACAAGCAAGTAGACTACTATGTTCTATTATTAGAAATATATAATACGTTAATAGTTTTCATGTTGAAAAAAAAAATTAATCCTTTTATTTTCTTCCGCCATCACCATTGAATAATAATAATAATAATAATAATAGTAATAAATTTCACCTCTTTATGTCACAATTATGATATGAAATGGCTGGGCCGCGCGTAGGAAAAACCGTATTTCGGCCATGAGAAAATAAATGGTGGCCGACTACCCATGACCCACTAGAGTTCGCGTAGGTCGTGGCCTACCCCCATTTATTCACTATATTTTATCGATACGGCATGCTTCTTAAATGACAGCGGATTGGAACTGTCGAAACGGGGATGGGACAAAATATCAAAGTGTCATATTTATGGATTTTCTAAACATCCTAAATATGTTTGGTAACGCCTAGGTCCCCCCACCCAAACCCCCCCACCCCCCCCCCCCCCCCCCCCCCCCCCCCCATTTTTGAATTTGAAGTGGGGAAAGAATTATATAATTTTCAAAATGATAAGTTGAATTTGTTTCTACGGAGAAAACATTTATCCCTCCGAAAAATAAGCGTAACACTGAATTGCATTTGAAAATATATAATAACGTACGCATATTTTTTAGATTAAAGATATTAGATTGGGCGACTCTACCACAATGACGTAAACAAGACAACCATGAAATAAACATAGCGTTCAAGCCACTACTAACCAAAACATGTTAGTTGGAGCTTGTACAATTTCCTCCGAGCTTCAACAATTATACAGATTTTTTAAATTAAAAATATATATATATTTGAACTTAAAAAAAAAAATTTTAATTTAAAATTGATGCCTCTTTCTTCTAAGGCCATGTTGTTGAAGCATGTAAACTCTAATGCCGAGTTGAAAAGATGGGTGACAATAGTAAACACATTTCTTTAAACCCTTTGCACCACATGAATCCCACTTTCCCCTTTCCCAAATAAACAAAAGAGAATTTCTCATATCATCGTATTTCTGGTTCAGAAAATGTGCACATTTAAAACGAGTTAGAGATTTAGAGAAAAAAAAATTAATAGATGTCCTCACATTCAAGCAGGGTTTCTTCCAGCTATATCGCAGAGCCCCCCCCCCCACCCCCCCCCACAACCCAACAATAAATCAACTGGCACTGCCCCCACCCCCCACCCCCCACCCCCGAAAAATCTGAAGTGCCCCCCGGGGGAAAATTTCTGAACTAAACACTGCATTCAAGCACACGCTGATAGTCTACAGAAAATATGGTCTCCTATGGTTCAAAAGTGGTTTCTCCTGGTGAAGCGTTTAGTCCTCTTTTGTGGCTGATTTATACTGTCCTGATAAAGAAGTGTCCTGATAAAGAAGTGTCCTGATAAAGAAGTGACCTGATAAAGAAGTGTCATGATAAAGAAGTGTCATGATAAAGAAGTGTCCTGATAAAGAATTGTCCTGATAAAGAAGTGTCATGATAAAGAAGTGTCATGATAAAGAAGTGTCATGATAAAGAAGTGTCATGATAAAGAAGTGTCCTGATAAAGAAGTGTCCTGATAAAGAAGTGTCCTGATAAATAAGTGTCCTGATAAAGAAGTGTCCTGATAAAGAATTGTCCTGATAAAGAAGTGTCCTGTTAAAGAAGTGTCCTGATAAAGAAGTGTCCTGATAAAGAAGTGTTCTGATAAAGAAGTGTCCTGATAAAGAAGTGTCCTGATAAAGAAGTGTCCTGATAAAGAAGTGTCATGATAAAGAAGTGTCCTGATAAAGAAGTGTCCTGATAAAGAAGTGTCCTGATAAAGAAGTGTCCTGATAAAGAAGTGTCCTGATAAAGAAGTGTCCTGATAAAGAAGTGTCCTGTTAAAGAAGTGTCCTGATGAAGAAGGTCCCAGATAAAGAAGTGTCCTGTTAAAGAAGTGTCCTGATGAAGAAGGGCCCAGATAAAGAGGTGTCCTGTTAAAGAAGTGTCCTGATGAAGAAGTGTCCTGATAAAGAAGTGTCCTGTTAAAGAAGTGTCCTGATGAAGAAGGTCCCAGATAAAGAAGTGTCCTGTTAAAGAAGTGTCCTGATGAAGAAGGGTCCACAGAACGTATCGCTTTACGCGTAAAAACAAGGGATTTCTAGCAATAATATCTTTCTTGTAATATAAAGGTCAAAAGGTCACTCCACCGAGTTCACCCCAAGGTCAGACGAAAAGGTGGGGGGGGGGGGCAGCTACTGCATTCACAGACTATTGACAAGAGAAAAAAATACAACTTACAGTTGTGGGGGGGGGGGGGTCTACATTTTTGATTCTCCTACTTTCTTTGGACAATTGTCCATGATTGGAATAGGAAATGAATAAGATTTAGTAATAGAATTTATTTTCCTCATTAACTCAGTGCAAAACCTTTAAATTTTGTCAGGCTTTGGGACTAAATACAAAGTGGATCCCAGTTATTAGCAGTCTACTAAATACAAAGTGGATCCCAGTTATTAGCAGTCTACTAAATACAAAGTGGATCCCAGTTATTAGCAGTCTACTAAATACAAAGTGGATCCCAGTTATTAGCAGTCTACTAAATACAAAGTGGATCCCAGTTATTAGCAGTCTACTAAATACAAAGTGGATCCCAGTTATTAGCA